GACTGAATTTCATCGACAGAGCCTTCACCTTTGTAACCTTGAATATCACCGTACCCAATTTTTTCAATCAATGTTTTGCCAAATCTGGAAACGGCACGATCTGGAAGCACCCTTACATTTTTCGATGAGAAAAGTGGAGGTTGTAGCGGTAAGTGAGTGGACGATTTCGGGATATTCAGAGGCAAAAAAGTCGACGAGTGCTGATTCAATTGATGATTATAAGATGTGGAGCTTCTAAAACTTTGCGGTATACACGTTGAGGAATATTGTTGGCTATTTGGTCTTGGGGTAGAATATGGCTTAAAGGAAAGTTGCTCGCAAACCGAGTAATTGATCTTCGGCGGAGCATAAAATCGTGACGGCGGCTCCACACGATAGTTCAATACATCATCATTCTGTTGAGAATTTATTCTTGTCTGAAAGGTTTGAGATTTGCCGAGTGATTTTTGTTGCATACTAAAAATCGACACGTACGTACTGGAATTTGATTGGGGACGAACTGTAAAAAAACAAATATTTTACTTGTCGAAAAACTTTATTTTAATGATCTTCATAAATATAAAGATTAATGAAAAGTGTCACAAATACTGTATATTGCAAGTTATTTCGTAGATATTATAAAAATATTTGACTTACTATTTATAATGTACGAATTAAAATATTACATAAATTTAAAAATAACGAAATAAAATTGATAAACAATTGAAATAAAATTGCCAAAAATTTACTTACGTTATTTTTTTTATTAAAACTGACAATAATATTATCATGAACTTTGATCATTTTTACATATAACAGTTTTATAATTTTATTTAAAAAAACAGCTTAAAAAACAGCAAAAGGAAGTAATCTTAAGAGGATAGGTTTAAGAATTAATAAAGAATACATTGACTTAATTATTAATACTTCATGACAAGCATTGATTTATATTGTCGGTTAGACTATTAAAACCAATCTCAGTATCGAACGTAAAGCATCTTATGTTACATTCAAATATCGCGATGAGATAATTGATTAATTGTATGGCGAGTTAGGAAAAATAATTTTACACATTTAATGTTTAAATTAATGCGATGATGTTGGCTGTGCATTGTCCCAATTTTTTTGCATCTAAAATTTTAATATACATTTGCGATATGCAATAGCTTGTTAAATTATCAAGCATGATTGTTAATTAATTAATTTTAAATAATTTCAAATGAATAAGTTTATATTTAATATCATAACAATTATACATAACAATTCTTTTTTTCTTGGTTGCGCTTAAAGAAAAATTGAGGAATCATTGAATTCTTTCAATCTTGAATTAATATTACCGGAATTTGTATTCGCGATTCTCTTGAAGATTGTGCCGTTGAAATCCTGGCCGCATATCACTATACTCAAAAGAGCCGTGAAAACAATCACTAAGATAGACTTCATCTCTAGAATGTAAATTTTATTTTAGTTCACAACTAAATCCTTTTTTCAATTTCAGCAATCACGATTTAGGTTTTTAAATTGTATTATTTATTAATAATCAATGTTAAATGTAATAATATTAAAAAGTAAAACTTTAAGTTAGTTTGTATGTAAAAAGCTTTTTTTTATATTAAACTTATTTTAATAAATCTTCTATAAAATTCTCAAATCTTAATATATTTTATTTATTAATATACTTATATTTAGTTTTAGGGAGTGTTAAAAATTTATACTTCACGTTACATACATACTAACAATTTTTAATATTGGCAGTTACTATTGGAATGCAGTCTAAGATATAAAGTATGTATCCATGTTTTTTTTATTTAAATAATATACTTTTGTCAATCAAAAATAATGCGATTTATTAATAAATAATAAAATAATAAGGAACTTAAAGTAACGGTTGAATTCGTTACTGTTATTGTAAAAGTATAACGATGTTACCATTATTAGATAAAAACCAAGCAATGCTTAAATGTTACTAAAAAAGTAATGATAATAGTAACAAAGTTACAAAATAATGTATTAGTTCCTAATTCTGCAAACAATTGCCTCGTGCAAAATCATATATTCGATGTTGTGATAATCAAATGTCATCAGCAGCTGAATGTAAGAATATTAAAATATATTTAAAAATAATTGCCGCAGATGGCTCATACGTCAGTTTCTTCATCAAAAGAGAAACGTTAATAATGACCATATTCGATATTTACAACTATATAATTGCAGCTTTCGGCATTTGATGTCATCGAATAGATGAGATGACTTGTAGTAAGAAAAGAAAAGAGAATATGCAAGCGTTAATTTTTATTTTAACATCTCTTCGCATTCTGAATGGTGTATACTGATTATATGATTATGATGGTGGACAGTTATAGAGATTCCTACTTACAAATTATATACCTATAGCTACAAGGTTTTTAGGCACGATATTCTTTTAGGTATTTCTTTTGAGCTTCTGGAACACGCGAGATGTATAAAGAGTGATTACTTTAGCGCAATCGATTCCATTGCAAATCTGGAAAGTAGCTTTCTCGATAAATCAAATACTTAACATGTACTTAATCTAGAGACACGGTAGTGTCTCGGTGCTAGATTAAGCACAGCGACACTGCCGTGCCTCCTTTATGCAAGCCAGTTATAAGTTATAATTGTCAGCAGAATAATTAAGATTTCGAATCGCATACGCACACATAAATAAAATTCGATAATAAGAAAATAAAAATAAAGATTATTTTGATATATGACGAATACACTAATTGTGAGAATTAGTTTAGCAAGTTGTAGCTGATTGGGTAATTGCCCAGAATCTCGCAAAATTAATCGTAATAGAATAAAGAAAAAAAAAGATAATGTGCAATTATTTCGATAAGTTTTTAGTGGAAAATTTTGTGTGTAATAATGTTTATTCTTTTAATTGTAAAAAATATTTCTTTTTTAAACTAGTTTGTTTTCTATGTCGTTTGCTTTCTCTCTTATATCATTTATATAACAATATTAGAATAGATTATGCACTGCTAAATTTTATTAGATTAGATTATGCTCTGTTAAATTATACCCTCTGATGTATCTTATAATCTAAGAGTATCTAGCTGAGGAAATTTATAAATACGAGTACTTAATTTTATATTTTTGGTTATCCAATTATTATTATCTTTTTTAAAAATTCTTTTATGGTGATTAATATAATATTTGCGGAATCGCCAAACTTTTTTTTAATACAAATATCTTTCAAATACTTATTCACACTTCTCTATAATTCCAATTTTTTGTGAAAAAAAAAAATTTATTTATCACATATAAAAATATAAAAAAACACTTTTTAAAAAATACATTAAACTTATTTAATTTAATTAATATATTTGAGGTTACTTAATAAATAAATTTTAATTTCGATTTATTTATCAATTTATAACTCAATTATTGCATTAAAATAATTACTGGAATACGATAATTGCGGGAGTGATACTATTGATAAATAATTATTGCTCTTTCGCAATATCATAAAATACATAAATATCTTGCACGATTATTACATTTAACGAATCTTTCAGTATATCTTTATAAATAAACGTCACTACTTAAAATCTTATGATCATTCTTCATTAATCGAACATTGTATTTGCAAAAAATCATTGGGAATTCTCGCGCAGATATTTTCAATTTTGTCACTAATCCGTTAAAATCGAACTGTAATCTAATATAGCTTTTAATTACTACACATCTATATGTTCAATGTTTTATCGTATCAATAGAATTAAATATCGAGAAATCCCAATTAGAAAATTCCAATAGTGGGACTATGCTTGAATAAGGTGAAAAGTAAAAGTTATCATGGTTAGAGAAACATTGATCGAAGCATGTGTATCGTTAAATGTACTCAGTCCATGTTGTATTAGAAAACACATATGAAGAATATCTTCATTATTCATTCAAAGATCTTTTTTCTCACCTAAAATTAATTAAAGGTACGAAGTCAAAGATTTTACTAGAGAATTTACGTAGTATGCATTGCATAACTCTTTGTGTGTACTTGTATTCCTAAGTTTATTTCTTAGACAGATAAATTGTGAATAAACTTTCACTTTTACATGCGATAATATTAATTCATCATTATGAATTCCTTATTTAGGAACATAAATAATATGTACATAGCGTTAATGTCGAAGATCATTAATCATTATTGTATTAATATATGCAACAATGACATAACTTTTAATATATGCACAAAAGATTCAAATCTCGTCATTTTTAGATTTGTTTATTTTATTTATTCGGTAATGATAAAGAGTCTAAGTATGTGTCGTATTCTTTTTATTCGTGCGTTTTAAAATCTAATCCTTGATAAATGTCATGAAGCACGTGAAACAAAGATAATTATTTTTTCTTTTGTATTATATAAGTGTCAAAGTCGCTCGTGCAGAAACCATGCAAAATATTAGTTTTGTCAGAAAAAACGTTATTTTATTGCACAAATAAAATTTTGCTATTGTGCAAATAAATAAACAATTTATCTTCATCCCACATGGAAAATGGAAAATAAAATTGCTAGTTTTCTTTATTTAGACATATACATAAACATACATATGCATACAGACGTGCGCGCATGCACACGCACACGCACAAAACACGCACGTTATAAAATTTATTGAAGCATCAATGAAAATATACATTTATATTATTTTCTAATTTTATTAGAATAAAGCAATAACTGCTTTATTTTATAACGCACTTAATTCATTGTTACAAATATTTCGTTATACCTTAAAAGAAAATAGTTATTTTTCGATAGTCTATAACACACGCACCACTTCTTTTGGTCAACGACAAATCAACGACTTCTGAAGACATTCTTGAATAAAGCAATCAGTAATTTTTGGGATTGAATGATAACAATCTTTAATCACTCAAAGATGTTTTAAAAGGTCGTTGATTTGTCTGATTGAAATGTGAAAGAAGTAGTAGATGTGGAGCTGAGAGACTAATAAAAACACTTTTTTTTGATAGTAAATAAAGTTTGTGCATCAATAAACAAAGTGCATTAAACAACATGAAAATTGTTCAGACAAATATAAATCTCTATCAGTAATTTAATAAATTTAATTTATAAATATATTTCAAATAATTATTGATTTATTCTTATATGCATATGAGAGAATGTACATATAATAATAACATTTTTATGTATATGCAAGGTGTCGCGTAAAGAGTCGAACAACGTTTAAGAGAAGATTCCTGAGATCACATTTTGAGACATAAATTCTAATACTAAAACTCTAATATTATTCCTAATTTTGGATTCCTTTAATAAAATGTTTAAAATGTATTTGAATGAGTTTAAATTAAATATTAATAATAGTATATAATTTTATATAAAGAGCTACTAATTCCTGTTAATTAAGATATAAAGTTGATAGCAGATTGCTCAAAAGTCAGTTTTCGAGTTTAGTAATTTTGTCGCCCTTGAGCGCGTCAACTTTAAACAACAATAAGATTGGTTAATTTTTAACGCTTATAATTCAAAAATTATTATAGTCTCAACATTTTAGTATTAGAATTTTCATCTCAAAATGATCTCAGAAATCTCCCATTAAGCGTTGTTCGTATTACGGGACACCCTTATACATATTTAATTTAATAAATATTTTATATAAATAAATTACCTATAGATGAAATTCTTTCCGTAGAAAGTGATTATCACAAGATGCTAAAGTTGATTTTCCGTCACGGTTTGATTAAAAGACGCGTTGTGTGGCTCTTATGAAGAAGGTAAGAGTAAATAGTTATAAACATCATCATTTCAGCTTTATATAGATATTGTACTTCCATATCTGTAGGCTATCTACAAAACATGATTCGTGCCATCACTTTCACTATGTCTGTCGTGATATTATCTGCGGGATGAAAGAACCACCTTTCGACAAAATTAAGTGCATTAGATAAAAATGCTTTGTTTTATAAAAAATATAAGAAAGATATTTTATCTTGTATAAAGGTAAAAATATGTATGTTCGCACCAATACATAAAAATTTTTAAGTATATGCATTATTAAATATAAAGTTAATTGCTTAAAAATAAATATACAATTTATTTAATTTGGTAAGTGCAATGTGTATCATTGAAAAAAATCTATATCTAAAAAGAAAACACTTTTGAAAATACTAGTTATTCTTCATTTGCTATATAACAGCTATAGCAACGACACAAATTTTTTTAAAAAAACACAATGTTTTTCAAAAAAAATTTTAATGTTTTAAATCATTAAAATTTTCTAATATTAATTATAAAATGCAATTTTATAATTATCAAGAGCTTGCTCTTTCTCATATCCATTACCACACATTGTTAATATTGATTAACATGACCGGAAAAAATGTTTCATATAAAATTATATAAAATTATATATAATTATATAAAAAATTGACATATTTTATA